TTAATATAAAAAATTATTAAATTTTATTATTTTTTATCAAATAAACTGGATTTAAATTTAATATAACAAATTTAAATATAAAAAATCACATAATACAATAAAATAAAATCTTACAAAAACTAAATTTATAATTTCTTTAAATAGAAATACCAACAACTTTGATTTTGTTGTTGATATTTTTTGCTTTGATTGATCTACATAATATCATGTTTTACATGATTGCGGTTAGTGGAACATATTTTGTATTTTTTTGATGATCAATGTTTAATATAATATGTAAATGTTATATTTTTATGACTATGAATATAATATGTAGGATAAAATCCCAAAATATGTATCAATAATAAAAAATAAATTAATTAAATCGATGTTTTTAGATTGTTTATGTGTAGTTTTCTAATAAACAAAAGTTATAATTAAAAAAATACTCATGCAAGTGATGTCACTACAAAAATAATAGCTAAGTTATCAGTTATAGTTAGCAAGTACAAACGTACTAAAAAGATATTTCATGTGAACCAATATTTTATTTAAAGATTATTTTAACTATTCAAAAGGAAATACTATCATCTTCTCAAATTTATCACATGCAATTATTACATATTTTCCATGGTCAAAATATATTGTCAAACAACTTAGAGTTTTAGAAGACGAATATATGAATTTATGTGGAAATAAAAAAATTACCCATTTTTCTTCGTAAAATCCAATTTCTTCATTCTAATTCAAGTTATCCGTTCAAATTCCAGTTAATGCATTTCATACATATAGGCCTTCATAAAATAAAATAATATTTATGTTACTTATTTTTATATATATATATATATATATATAAGTTTGAGCATTATATCTTCCCCGCAGGGTTTTGATGAAAACATGAATTTAGTGTTGGATGATGCTGAAGAAGTGAACATCGAGAAGACCAGAAAGTCACTCGATAAGTTGTTTTCATTTGCATATTGATTTTTACTGGTCCTAGATATATACTACATAAAGGAGACAACATCACTTTGATGATGAACACGTAAGTGTAAACACTGTATTAGCTCTTCTCTCTATTTACCACAATTCAAATATTATTCAACAAAAAAATAACAAAATTTTCTTCTATGTTATAAGGGCAAGTGAAGACTGAATCGAAAACCTGCATACGTGTATTGCCATCTTGGATGAATGTGTAGATTGAACTTCCTGGTTTCTCAGAACTCTCTGATTGGATTGCTCTTCTCTTTCACTGTAGACTGGTTCTTGATACCGTCTTATATTATGTTATAGTGATAATACTGAGATTAAGAATCCGACAAATTTTTTTATTGATATTTATGTTAATATTTATGAATTTAAAATAGATCTAATGAAAAACTGTTAGCTATGATTTTAACAAGAGGTAATGTGTAATATGATTTTGGTCGGGTAAGAGTTTCATAGATATAACTAGGTTTTTGTAGGGGTGTCAAAATAGTCGGGTCAGATACAAGCCCGAAGAATTGTGGATCAGGCCAATTCAGTCCGAAACATGTGTGGGCTTATAACATTGGGCTGAAACCCAACCCTATGGATTTTTTTGAGTTCGGTTTGAGCTTCGAGTTTGAATTTTCAAAAAAAAAATTAACAAACAAAAAATAAACTATAAAAATATAAATAAAAAATCAACAAAATAAAAAAAAAATTAATATATATATTGATAAACATATTTATTAATATATATTTTGATTTAATAGAAATTAAAACTCAAAATTTCAAATTTTTATATAATAATTAAATTTATTTAAATATTAAATTGTTATATTTTTTAATCCTAATAAATATTCAAAACTAATGATATTATAATTTTATATACATTATGTTATTAAAATAAATAGTATGAAGGACTTGAGGCGGGCCGAGTCGACCCGACCTGAATCCGCATGTGGACAGTCGGACTTCAATTTTTCAGGATCAAACCCGTCAATTTTCGGACAGGATTCGGGTCAGATAACATACCTCAGTTTTATTGACATTCATAGATTTTTGTTTTAAAAGTGTTTTTAAAAACTTATCAAAGTTACTCACATTCTCTCATCGAAAAAATACATAAAAAAATACATCATATGTTAATCTCGACACTTTCAAATAAATTTCTAATTTGATTTAATAATATAAATTTAAAATTTTAAAAATATATATTATATTTAACTTCAAAACTAATAATAATATTATTTAAAATCTATATATATTTTTAGTCCAAGTTATGTAAATGAAAAAAACCATTGATTTTGTATTAAAAATAAATATAAAAACTATTTATAATCTGTTTCGAAAAAATTGAAACATTTTGTCCTCTTGAAATTTTCAAAAAAAAAAAAACAGAATATAAATTATAAAATCAAAAACAAAATATATTATATTTAATTTTAAAACTAATATTTTTTAAATATGATCGTATTTTTAGTCCGCGCGATACGCGTGGGTTATTATCTAGTTATGTTTAATTTAAAACATCTCTTCATTTTTGTTTTATTTTTTTATATTCAACCCGATTTACTCATTACTAGATAAAAATGACTAAATATTTTTAATAACTTTTTTTTCAATTCGATTTTTTTTTTATTTTAAAATATTATGATTATCATTTTATAATATGAATATTATAACATTCTAAAATATTTACATCGATCTGCAACATTATTATTTAAATCAAACAGAAAAATTATAGTTTTACATCACATTTAACTTTTAGTATCTGATCCACCATTTGCAAATATCAGATTGAGGCGTCACGCAATGCCATAAATTCTTGTGCTAATCTTAGAATTTTATATTTTTTTATTTTTATCAATTGTTATTCATTAAATCACATTTGTTTATCTTGAACGATCTAATTATTTTAAATATTATTAGATATGTCAAATTATAAATACCAATATTTTCTTAAATACTAAAATAAAATTACTAAAATAAATACTAAAAAATAATAACATTTAACATTCAAAAACAAAATCTTAAATAATTCATAGTAGTAAATACACACGATATTACACTGAAACGATTTTTTACTATATTATTATTATCATGAATCCCATAAAAATATTTAAAAATATTGAATTTGAATATGATTGAATATAAAAATTTTAAAACTAATTAACAGAACGAAAAATAAATACTATTTTTTAAAACTTTATCTAAAATTGAACCCGATTGATAGAAAAAAAAATTGGATATAATAAAATTTTAAAATAAAAAATTAAACAAATAACCGAATCCAAAATCGATCAAAAAATATATTTCATGAATATATTGTATCATGTCAAATTCAATTTAACAAAAAAAATATTGTGTTATCACTTATTACCGTCAATACTAATATTAAAAAAATAGAAATTTTATATGACTTGGAAATTAATGTTTGAAATAAAAAATTGAAATTAATTTTTACGAAAATAATATTCTAGGACTTATGATCATTTTGACCTCCTGTGAAGGAGAGGAGAGGAGAGAGCGAAAAGGAAAAAAGCAAAGGAAGGGAATGAAATTAAATCCGATCTAATTGACATTTGACGTCCGCAAGGACACTATTCTCTCTCCTCTCCCTCTCTTTCTCTCTCTAAGATACAGCGAAGAACATGACACAATACTCTGAGAGAGGAGTTGTTTATTTTCCTTCCTTTTTTTGGTTTTATCGAGCTTGAAAAAAACCCTAGAGGAAGTTCGTTCTTGAGCTGCTACTGATATCCCCTTTCTGATTATTGGTCTGTGTCGGAGAAGAAGACGAGGAGTTTTTTTTTTGTTTGTTTTGTTTGGGACATCGGAGCTGATTGCTCTGGAAAGTTATCTCCTTTTTCCTTGTGTGATTCTTGTATGATTTGGGGTTCGATTCAAATGGTCGGAGATAAATTATAATCGGAGACATACTGTTCAATTTCAGCTCTGGTAAGTTGAATTTTCGATTTAGTTGCTGTTTCTTCACTGGTTTTCGACTTCTTTGTCACCGAGTCTTCGTCAATTAGGGTTTGATCGAGCTGCTTCCATTTGTCTCTGGGTCTTCTTCCGCTATTGGCTTCGCTTCCTGCTTTTCTTCCCAGAAATCCTTTGAATAATTGTTGAACTTTGTCTGGGTTTCCTTTTGTTTTTGGGTTATATGTTTGATATCTTTCTGGGCATGTTGCTGGGTTTTGATTGAAGTAAATTTGTGTCGAATTCAGCGAATTGGATCTGTGTCGACAGAAACACGGAGTCCATCTCGCCCTTTGGAGACATTGCAAGCCTAGAATGTCCGAAAGGGAAGCTCGGCCTGCAGATTTGGCTCTTCCATACGTCTTGTTTGTGTATTTGACGGCTTCAAAGCCTCTACCTGGCCTGGAAAATTTGCTTCTCAAGTTGATTGGCTCATTGGTGCATCAAAGACATTGCATTTGGAATACCGGGCTGATATGATGCAAATTACTTCGAGCTCGTAACAGTGCAACTTATCCGAGTTGTTCTTGCTTCGTTATAGTTATTAGTCTAGGTAGTTGTGTACTGGTTGATTTTGAGCTAGAGATTCCGGGAGAATGGTTCCATCCGGGCCGCCCACTCCGGTAGGTGGTGGCCAGCCTGTTCCGCCTTCTCTTTTAAGGTCGAATTCTGGTGTGTTGGGAGGCCAAGGAGGTCAGCTTCCTTCCCAACCGACATTTGCTTCCGTTGTCTCCCCACGAACTCAGTTTGGCAATAACATCAACATGAGTTTGCTCGGGAATGCGCCAAACATGTCTTCTCTACTAAACAATCAATCCTTTGGAAATGATGTGCCAAGTTCTGTCATTTCTGGCCAGCGTGTGGGTATGGTGATGGGTGGGTGTGGGTCTGACCCATTGTCCAGTATGGTGACCACTGGCTCATCAGTTCAAGCTCAGGGTCATCAATTCTCAGACCCTTCATCCAACCAGTTTTTGTCAGATCAGCAACAGAACCAGCAAATGGAGTCTCAGAATTTCCAACATTGTCAACAGTCTATACAACAGCAGCAGTTTCCCGCAATTTCCCTCGGCATATCAACATATAAAAGTTCCTCCAATGTGCCACTCTCATACTTTATCTTAAAAAGCCGGGGAAGGACTTCCACAGTGGCCTCTAAAAAAATGAATGAAGCAAAGCAGGCATAGAGTTTTCGATAAGCTGAAAGAACAAGCCATGCAAACTTCATGAAAATGACAAATGCAAAAAGAAAAAGTAAAAGTCATCTGGAAACATACCGAAACCACGTCCAGGTTTCCGATTACATATCTCACAGTGCCACCCGTCCTGAAATGAAATAAGTAAAGACAATGCCTCAGTTGCATGGCAAAAAAATTACCCAAAAAAGAGTTGTATAGAGGGGAAAAAAGCTCTTCTACAATCATACAAGACTGAAGTAAGTTCCCTTGAGCAGCAAACCTGAGAAAAAACTCCAGTTGTTTGCCGGCCACTACCATACATAGAAACAAACCATCTCTTTTTGGCATTGGGAGCAAAGTACTCGGCGGCCTGCAGATTTGGCTCTTCCATACGTCTTGTTTGTGTATTTGACGGCTTCAAAGCCTCTACCTGGCCTGGAAAATTTGCTTCTCAAGTTGATTGGCTCATTGGTGCATCAAAGACATTGCATTTGGAATACCGGGCTGATATGATGCAAATTACTTCGAGCTCGTAACAGTGCAACTTATCCGAGTTGTTCTTGCTTCGTTATAGTTATTAGTCTAGGTAGTTGTGTACTGGTTGATTTTGAGCTAGAGATTCCGGGAGAATGGTTCCATCCGGGCCGCCCACTCCGGTAGGTGGTGGCCAGCCTGTTCCGCCTTCTCTTTTAAGGTCAAATTCTGGTGTGTTGGGAGGCCAAGGAGGTCAGCTTCCTTCCCAACCGACATTTGCTTCCGTTGTCTCCCCACGAACTCAGTTTGGCAATAACATCAACATGAGTTTGCTCGGGAATGCGCCAAACATGTCTTCTCTACTAAACAATCAATCCTTTGGAAATGATGTGCCAAGTTCTGTCATTTCTGGCCAGCGTGTGGGTATGGAGATGGGTGGGTGTGGGTCTGACCCATTGTCCAGTATGGTGACCACTGGCTCATCAGTTCAAGCTCAGGGTCATCAATTCTCAGACCCTTCATCCAACCAGTTTTTGTCAGATCAGCAACAGAACCAGCAAATGGAGTCTCAGAATTTCCAACATTGTCAACAGTCTATACAACAGCAGCAGTTTCCCGCAATACGTGGAGGAGGATTAGCTGGCGTTAGACCCGTTAAGCTGGAGCCTGGCCAGGTATCCGCAGACCAACACAGGCAACTGCAACAGCCACAACAGCAGCTGTTGAGAAATCTCGGACCGGTTAAGTTGGAACAGCAGCAACTTCAGGCTATGAGGAGTTTGGCCCAAGTGAAAATGGAACCACAACATACAGAGCAGTCACTGTTTCTCCAGCAGCAGCAGCACCGGCAGCAACAGCAACAGCAACAGCAACAACAGCAGTTTCTTCAATTGTCGGGCCAATCTCCTCGGGCTCAAATGAATCTGTTTCATCAGCAGAGGCTTATGCAACTTCAACAACAGCAGCAACTCTTGAAAGCAATGCCTCAACAACGACCTCAATTACCGCAGCAGTTTCAACAGCAGAGTTTGCCTTTGAGGCCACTTGTGAAACCTGTCTACGAGCCTGGGATGGGTGCCCAACGGCTTACTCAGTACATGTATCGGCAACAACATAGACCTGAAGTAAGCCTCTTAGCATTAAAAACCTTATTCATCCCAGTTTTTTTTTTCTTCCGGGTTTGACATCTTGCCTACTGCTATATGCAGGACAATAATATCGAGTTCTGGAGAAAATTTGTAGCCGAGTACTTTGCTCCCAATGCCAAAAAGAGATGGTGTGTTTCTATGTATGGTAGTGGCCGGCAAACAACTGGAGTTTTTTCTCAGGTTTGCTGCTCAAGGGAACTTACTTCAGTCTTGTATGATTGTAGAAGAGCTTTTTTCCCCTCTATACAACTCTTTTTTGGGTAATTTTTTTGCCATGCAACTGAGGCATTGTCTTTACTTATTTCATTTCAGGACGGGTGGCACTGTGAGATATGTAATCGGAAACCTGGACGTGGTTTCGGTATGTTTCCAGATGACTTTTACTTTTTCTTTTTGCATTTGTCATTTTCATGAAGTTTGCATGGCTTGTTCTTTCAGCTTATCGAAAACTCTATGCCTGCTTTGCTTCATTCATTTTTTTAGAGGCCACTGTGGAAGTCCTTCCCCGGCTTTTTAAGATAAAGTATGAGAGTGGCACATTGGAGGAACTTTTATATGTTGATATGCCGAGGGAATCACAAAATTCATCTGGTCAAATTGTATTGGAGTACGCTAAAGCAACACAAGAGAGTGTCTTTGAGCATCTACGTGTTGTTCGTGACGGCCAACTTCGGATAGTTTTCTCTCCAGATCTTAAGGTTCTTCAAAAAGTAAAAAAAAACTCTTATGGGCTTTAATTTTCTCTCCTTGCTTCTTATTCTGTTTGTTCATTTTCAGATATGCTTGTGGGAGTTTTGCGCTCGACGTCATGAAGAGCTTATCCCTCGAAGACTTTTGATACAGCAGGTAACTTTAAGAAATATTAATTCATCATGTAAGCCTTTTTTTCATATTCTCCGTCGCTGGGACGTGTAGAATTTGCAAACTTCTTTTTAATGGTTTTGTCTTTGAACGAGCTTACAATTCCAAAACGTGATATATTACAGGACACTGCTCGCATAATTCCGAAATGATTTAGCTTTCCGCAAGCATATAATCAATTTTGAGTGTATTGACTATTGATGATAGGGACATAGTCTTTTATCCATCCTTTTGTTAAGTGGTTTCTGGAGATTTGGGTAGGAGTGTGTATTTGTAAATACAGCCTCTATATTTGTGACAATACTTTTGTATCCACCTCTTTTTGCGATTCACATTTGCAGGTTAGTCAACTGGGTTCTGCAGCTCAGAAATATCAACAAGCCACTCAAAATGCATCTTCAGATACTCTTCCAGAGCTACAAAGCAACTGCAACATGTAATGATTCGTCTCTTTTGCTGTTTGATTGCCACTGGAGTCATTGTGTCAAAGTAACATCTGAGGTATTGCTACTGTAACACAGGTTTGTAGCATCTGCAAGGCAATTGGCAAAAGCAATTGAAGTTCCATTGGTGAATGATTTGGGGTACACAAAGAGATACGTCCGATGTCTTCAGGTATATAATGATGCCCCGATATGTCTCAAATGCCCCTTTCACACAACTTCATATGCTTTCAAAAGATTCAACCTTGGAAAACAACGAATTGAAACAATTAAACCATTTTTTGAAACACCTTGTCCTTGCTGCGATGTTTTATAATATGATATTTATGTTGTTCCATATTTTTATCATTTGAAGGTATGTGGCCGTATTTGCGTTGCATATTTTTTTATGTGGATGCCCAAGCTAAACTCTTCCTTTTTTTGGCCGATGTGTTGATCTTTTGGAACCTTGTAGATATCAGAGGTGGTAAATAGTATGAAGGACTTGATAGACTATAGCAGAGAAACAGAAACAGGACCTATAGGTAAGCCTCTGTTGTCGCTGTCAATTGAGGAGGGTCAGGTCAACTCATCTTCAACACACATCTTACGCATCATGAGTATTGTGTTGGGTTTTTTTTCAAGCCGTAAAATCATTTTACCGCGTTTATATTACAGTTTGAGTTCATATTATAAAATGAAAATCATTTTATGATTCCTGTATTATCTTGGCTGGTGATTTCGTTCCCTTTCAGTCAATGTCTCATGTTCTTTTCGCAGAGAGTTTAGCCAAGTTTCCTCGGAGAACAAGCTCCTCATCTGCACTTCCGGGACCGTCTCAGACACCCAGTGACCAGCTAAGGCAGCCACAGCCACAGCTGCAACAACAAGCAGTTGCACAAAATGCTAACGGTAACCAGAGTTCAGGCCAAGGTGGAGCAATGCAGGTTAATCCCAACAATGGCGTGACAAGTGTAAATAATTCCTTCAATGCAGCTTCTGCTTCTGTTTCTACATCCACAGGCAGCATTGCAGGGCTTATGCACCAGAATTCGATGAACTCAAGGCAGCAGAACTCTGCCAACAATCCAAACAGTCCCTATGGTGGAAATTCTCTTCAGATGCCATCTCCAAGTTCCTCCAGTACTATTCAACACAGCCTGCCGTCGTTTCAGTCTCCGACTTCCTCGTCTAATAACAACAGTAATCTTCCTCAACCATCTCAAAATGGGTTACCGTCCGTTAATCACAGGAGTGTTGCAAGCTCTCCTGCTATACAGCAGCAGCCAGGTCCTTCCCCGAGTGAAGCTGAAGCAAATGACTCTCAGAGTTCTGTTCAGAAGATCCTGCATGAAATAATGATGAATAACCAAATTCCTAGTACAGGAGGCATGGTTGGTTCTGGATCGTACGTATATGATGGGAAGGCTGCTAACAGGATATCTCCCATAAATAACCCTGGAGTCCACGGAGGGGGAAACGGCTTGGTGATGAATGGACCGGTGAATAGCATTGGAGGTGGAGCGGGTTTTGGCACAATGGGGGTTGGTGGGGGGAACGGGAACGGGATCAGAGCAGCGATGGCAAACAGTAGTAATGGCAACACAGACATGAACGGGAGGATGGGGATGATGGGAAGAGATCAAAATATGGGTCACCAGCAACAAGAAATGGGGAACCACCTCCTAGGGACTGTTAATGGTTTCAACAATTTTCAGTTTGATTGGAGCGGATGACATGGAAACAAAGCCGATAATGGAACTGAGAGTGGTGATACACTAGAAATGAGGTGGGATTTAACCATTGGTAAAGATACAACCTTGACCTTGCGTTGATGAAGAAGAAGGTGATACATATATATATATATATATATAGTAATGACGTTATGGCGTCTCTAGTGTATCCACCCTTTTTGTACTATCCCCAGGAAAATAGAATCTTTCTCTCTATCTCTCTCGCCCCCATGGGAGCGAACAGATAAAGGTGCAGCCACTGAATGTTGCATGTGTGGAGATTCTGGTCTCTCCCACGAGCTTCCCTTCTGCAAAACATGCCGTTTCTCTCCATGGAGAGTGTTTCCATCATTGTTTTTTTCTTATGTACAACTGCTTTGCTAATATGTTGATGAAATGGGTGTCTCTGAGGGCAGAATTCTGCAAATCTCGCGTTGTATTTCGCACGTTCTATGCATTACAAACAAGTTCCACAATGTCTGAACTCGACAGAAAATGATTCACCATTGACATTTTAACTGATTCAGAAGGAGTAATCCTTCAACTCTTGGAAACATCCATGTCCATCTCTCTTCGGCTGTTAGGGGAGGGAGTTTGCGTGTTTTCCGCATCAGGTTGTGTTTGTGCAATTCGCTCTTACAGTGCTCCCTGTATTGTCTGGAATCCCCGACCAAAGCATTGCAAGTGTTGCACTTGGTCTGCTTCCCTTCTCCCTCCGGGTTTCTTCCACCGCTACCCGTCAGGACGTTTTGCTTATCCAATTTCTCGCTCAGTTGAAGAACGAGATCGATAGATTCCTTGTACTCAGTGGCGGATCGAGACTGGGATGATTCAGTGGAGGAGTACGTCTTCATGGTTTGCAATGGCATACCATCGTGTTCGTCATATTGATCCATACATGCATCTCCCTCTGCATGCACTGATTTCGCGAGTATTTTGAGTCTGCCCTACAAATTTCTCACGAGAGAATCACACTCGTGGAAAAGACCCGGATCCATCTCGCTTACCTGCACAGTTTGAGCCATCACAATTAGAGGGGATTGATAGAACAAGAATGAAAGAACATATGAAACATTGAATTCGGACCCGGGTCTATAACATTCCACGAAACATGAAGAGAAAGTTTTACATCGACAAAGATGGTAGAGGTAGATATGCTTACAGTGGACAACTGGGTTTCCGATTTGTCTTTGGAGACAATACAAGCATTCCATCCGTTAAGTTTCTCCAGAAGCGAGGAGCAGTTCTGTACAGGAACAGTTAGCTTCAATCTCATCGGAGAACGTTTTATCGGGAAATGCTGTTGCAGCTTACGTATAACTTCAAGTGCCTGCATAACTCAACTACTTTCAGAGAAAAGATATTCAAATACGAAGATGAAATCACTGGGTAGTAAAGTTGTCTAATTCTCCCACCTGTTTCTTGGAACTGCTATGAGGATCAACGGCAAAATGAATTTCGTGCATCAGGCGTCCAATCATGCTGATGGTGTAGGGCCGTTGAATTTCGGGGTTGATGGTTTTCTGCATAACAATAGTTGTGATATCCCGAAACTGGCTTGAGAGCTGGGATTCCCTCTCTTTCCCAGCGACTTGAAGCTCTCCTTTCTCCAAAATCTACAGTTCGTGTATTAGTGAAAGATCCTTAAAGCATTTAGTGAAGCCAGAACTCGAAGATACACCGATACGATGAAAACAAATTGAAAAAACGCACTCACACAATATTGCAAAATAAGAATTCCCAAACTAATTCTATTTCTTTGATAAGAGTCAAGTACACTTCAAAGCTTTCCAAGTAATACTCACTCACACTCGTTCCATTCCCCCTGAGCAGAATCTCGTATCACAAGAAATTCTATCAGTCCCAAACACACTGTGTGCAGCGCACACCCCGTGTTACCCCAGATCTAGTCTAGACCCAGTAAAGGGTTCACCTGTTGTTTCAAGGCTCTCCCTCAAGTATACATCACTTTCTCTCAGATCACTCTCACCAGTGTTTCCCGTACAAGAACTCTTAACCTTATTACAAAAACCTTTTCTCAAATCTTATTCTCGCCAAATTCTGTAATGGAGTCTTACACCCCTTATAAACTCCTTCTTGTGCTTGTCGTAATATCCTCTCAATATTTGTCTTGCCTTTTCTTCATTGATATAAATGTCCTGTTTCCTTTTCTTGCTTCTTTTCATGTTCGCTTTCCAAATTCAGCTCCAACCTTCCATTTGTCAACTCGAACCTTCTACATGTTGAATATGCTCTTTCTTTGCTTTAACATTCTCTCCCTTTTTGACTTTCTGCTTAAACACACTCAAACTCATAGAACACACGGTCGCAATTCATAGCAAGTAATTCATAGCATCATAAAGAAGTTTGATTAGGTCAACAGATTAGGTCAACATAACACACAGCAGATGATAACAGCCACGAAAGGGAAAGCAATTAAACACTAAGCAGATGATAAACACTAAGCCACTTAAGTCCACTTCACATCCAGGAAGTGTTATTCACTCAGATTCAGCATCTTCGGAGTTTTCTTCCTCGATTTCTTCCTCAACATCACTTTGTATTTCCTTCACCACTTTTCCTTTTCCTTTGTCCTTAGAACCTGACTCATTCGCTCCACTTTCTCCCCCTGTGTGGATAAGTAGAAACTCAAAAATATCAGCATGAGTTCAAACAGAGAACATACCTGTGGGAGGTGATTGAGCAACCATAACTCTGAAACTCTTCCCGAAGAGCGTGTTGTTGTCCACGAATCTAAGCGACAACTTTGGCATTCCTTCTATTTGACTCCACTTGACGCAACAATTTGTCATGTTTCATCAGAAGAGCAAACGTCTTGCTGCACAGTTGCATATGGCTCAGCTGTGCTCGTTGAACTCTGGACTCAATGATCAAAGGGCGCTGAATGACTTCAGTGATTTCGGAGTCTGCAACAATTTCAGGATTCTGTCGCACAATGATACTCTGAATAAGATAAGGGTGAGGAAGCAAGTAACGGACTCTCATATCTTCAGCTCGAGAAAGTATATGATTGTAGATAATGCTTCCTAGGTTGACTTTATCCTTTCTCAGAAACTTGAATATCAACATGGCCAGTTCATCCTAAATCACATCAGTTCGGCGGGTAGGAAACCAATTTGTTTTACCAACCAGAAACATGACTCGACTTTCAAACTTAAGGCTAGCAACTGGCATTTTTCCACTTCTTCCTTCAACATATTCACCCGTGAGAGAGACTTCTAAATCCTCAAGTGTAGTTCCAGTGGGATAGTCTCCCAAACCTTGATCTGAGTCATCAGGCGTTCCCAGAAGTTTGTTGATGACTGTGGGAGAGAATTCAATGAACCTTCCTCAGACAAACGCCTTGTGATACATTTGATCTCGAGGAATATCAGTCCTTTGAGTGAGATTCGAATAGAATTCTCGCACGAGCCCTTTGCTGAATGGGCATGCATAGGTCATTGTTCCGGTTAAATGACGTTCCATAAACAGTTCCCAGACTTGATTTTTTCGGAAATCCATTACATTCACATTCCTCTCAGCAATGACTTCAAGCCCCTTGAACTTTTCAAATCTCTTCTTGGTTTCAACAGACAAGAATTTCTCTGAGAGGGGTTTGAGAGGAGAATCACCTGATCTGCTAGCCTGAGCAGTTGATTCAGAAGTTTCCCCTTTCTTTTTCTTGGACACTCGCCGTTTCGGGGTTCTGCTAAGGCCTTCTGAAGCGTCCTTTGCATGAGCCAAGGTGGTCTTGCGTTTCGTCATAGCTCTACCCTTTGCCTTTCATTGGAAGACACTCAAAGGACAGTCAGAATCATCAAGACTAACGGGGACTGGAATCTCCTTTGCACGAGGTTGAGTCTCGATGCCCTCCTCTTCCTCTGTTCCTGGTAATGAATCATCTAGTGCTTCAGTAACTGTGCGCGCTCATCACTTTCCCCCTCTGGTTCCTTAGCCTCATCAGTTTTAGTTTCCTTGACGGAATCTTCATCCGTACCGTCATGTCGTTCAGGATGGTCGCTATCGACTTGAGGCATCTCCACTTGTACTTGCTCTGTTGTCAGATCGTTCTCAGACAAATCCTTGTCCTGTTCACCCGTTTTCGCATGGGTGATCTCAGCCGATGCATGTGCAGATTTCTTTCTCCGAATTTTCGCCTGTATTCATAGGCACAGTTTCTTCGACAATCACAGGAAGTTGAGGGTTATCTGATTCGCTAGATTGACGAGCAACGTGTCTAGCAGAGCGTCTTGTTCCCGGTCGAACAATCTTTCCAGTCTTCCTATTCGCCATCTGTGAGGGAATCTTTTTGTATGAGTACCTATAGCTTCCTTGAATGTAACAATATCCAAGTTGTTTACACCTTCAAAGACAAGAATCTGTGAATGATACTTAGCTGGCAAGCTGTTCAGAAGTTTCTTCACAAGCTTGTCGTTGGTAATCTTTCTCCCAAGTACACTTGCCTCATTTGACAATGCACTCAATTTCCCACAGAATTCTTTCACGCTCTCATCATCTCCCATCCTCAGCCGTCCAAACTGTAGATCAATCATATCCAGTCTGTTCCTTTTTACTTTGGAAGTTCCTTCATGAATAAGTTCTAGAGTATTTCAGGCGTCCTTCGCAGTTTCACATCCTTGTATCTGTTCGAATTCATCAGGACTGACACTACTGAAAATGATTGATAAAGCCTTCTGATTCATAGCCGAATCTTTCTTCTCTTGAGCTGTCCATTGATTTTTTTGGCTTTGTTACTATAGCTCCATCAATGACATCAGTTGGTCGAGTCCATCCATCAGTGACAGCACTCCACGTATCTTCATCAAGGCCACGAATATAGGAGCTGATCTTCACTTTTCAATGCCCATAGTTGGTTGAGTCAAGCATAGTAGTTTTTCCAAAAGATTGTGAATCTTTGAACCCTTCCATTGTGTGAAACTGAATCGTACATCGATATGAGAGGAAAACTTTCCTGCGATCAATGACATGCTCTGATACCAATTGAAAAAATACACTCACACAATATTGCAAAATAAGAATTCCCAAAACTGATTCTATTTCTTTGATAAGAGTCAAGTACACTTTAAAGCTTTCCAAGTAATACTCACTCACACTTGTTCCACTCCCCCTGAGCAGAATCCCATATCACAAGAAATTCTATCAGCCCCAAACACACTGTGTGCAGCGCACACCCCGTGTTACCCCAAATCTAGTCTAGGCCCAGTAAAGGGTTCACCTGTTGTTTCAAGGCCCCCCTCAAGTATACCTCACTTTCTCTCAAATCACTCTCACCAGTGTTTATCGTACAAGAACTCTTAACCTTATTACAGAAACCTTTTCTCAAATCTTATTCTCGCCAAATTCTATAATGGAGTCTTACACCCCTTATAAACTCCTTCTTGTGCTTGTCGTAATATCCTCTCAATATTTGTCTTGCCTTTTCTTCATTGATATAAATGTCCTGTTTCCTTTTCTT